GTATATGTTTGACACATAAAATCTGTCAATATTGCTTTCAGTGCGTCACAATCAGCGATTTTACGACTCGTGAGCGCTCACTCTGAGTGAACGCTCACGAATCATAAGATCGCTTATTGTGACGCTCTGAAAGCGAAATTGACAGGTTTTATGAGTCAAACACATACTTTACACCCTCTTCTTGTTACTTACTAGTGCAACATATCATTTTAACATCTAATGATTGCATAATTCCGAAAAATATTTTTTTATAGCAAGTGAGTGGAAGCAACCCTGCTTGAAAATGATTGATTTGATCAAAATGACATTGATCAAAAGTTTTAGGATATTAAATACACTGAAAGAAAAAAATCAGTAAATTCATAGTAAAAAAACATAAACAATGATTTTCTCAAAACGGCTCCTTCGATTATATATTTTTTTGTAAAGAAAACTTGAGTAATTCCCCAAAATTTGGGGATCAGAGGCGTCGCGTGCCTCATTTGTTTACCTGTGCACCAAACTTTGTTCGTTATAGCTTACCACCACATATTAGTTTTTGTTTTATTTTTCAATGCTCCTCTCAATTACAATATTATTCACTATCTAACGTAACATTGGAAGGGTCTATCATCTTGTGTAAACAAAACTTGTATGGCCCTTTTCGCGCTAACTGAAGTAGGAGGAATTGCAAAACTTAACTAATTCTGGTTTTATTTTCACAAGGCTAACTCTTTTGACTGAAGGGTAATGAAGAATATCCGTCAAACACTTCCGAAAACGTTTCTGGATACAAAACAGTGAAAAAATGTTGAGAAAATTCATGAAGTCCCTGGGTAGGAAACTTGAATTAATCAACTCTTTATTCATCAGCAGAACACTATCAGAAAACAGGAGAAGCTCATAAGTTTTGACAGGTGCACCGGCGCAACCATCGGTAATTGAGAGACTTACAACTGACAAGACAGTGAGAGAGAACGTTTGCGCTATCGTTCTCCATTGCTCTCTTTGCCTGCAATCAGATATCCAAGTGCACAGCGAGAAATGCACGCTTTAGGCACCCATACATCACAAATGTTCTTCTAATTTAAACTCACACATTCAAACCGGTCTGCAAGTATGATAACGTCCAAAGCGTATCAGACTGCTGTTTCCGTGTTGTTCCCGTTTGACGTGTGACTGCTGAAAGTTTCAATTACAACTAGTGGTGCAAACCGCCATGTATTGTGGAAAATTTGTGGTATGTTTCAAGCGGTGATAGAAGGTCTGCTTCACAAACTTACCACCCGCCGCCCAAAAAAGCTCGCTTTTAGGTACACTATTTAACGAGTAGTTTTGTCATGGTAAAGGGTGATACGGTCAAAATTTGGTCAATATCAACTTGACGTATTTCTTTCAATTTTGCATTTAAAAAACCTGAACACCCCTCATTTTGAAGGTGTGTGTGTGTAGAATGTTGCTCCTATTTTGATTTTGGAATTCACTCTTCAGTTGTCAAAATGCCGTCCAAGCAAGAAGAGCAGCGTATCAAAATTTTGCTCGCGCATCGCGAAAATCCGAGCTACTCGCACGCAAAGTTGGCAAAATCGCTAAAAGTTGCCAAATCAACCGTTACAAATGTAATTAAAGTGTTTGGGGAACGTTTGTCGACAGCCAGGAAGTCTGGATCGGGGGGAAATCGAAAACCGGAAGCCGCTGAGACGACAAAGAGAGTTGCCGGTAGTTTCAAGCGAAACCCTAACCTCTCTCTCCGAGATGCCGCAAATAAGCTGGGTGTATCGTCTACAACCGTGCATCGAGCCAAAAAACGAGCCGGACTATCGACTTACAAGAAGGTAGTGACTCCAAATCGCGATGATAAACAAAATACGACGGCCAAAGCGCGATCCCGGAGGCTGTACACGACGATGCTGACGAAGTTTGACTGCGTGGTAATGGACGACGAAACCTACGTCAAAGCCGACTACAAGCAGCTTCCGGGACAGGAGTTTTATATGGCAAAAGGAAGGGGAAAGGTAGCAGATGTTTTCAAGCACATGAAACTGTCAAAGTTCGCAAAGAAATATCTGGTTTAGCAAGCCATCTGTACCTGTGGCTTGAAAAGCAGCATTTTCATAGCTTCCGGGACTGTCAACCAAGAAATTTACGTGAAAGAGTGTTTGAATAAACGTCTGCTGCCTTTCCTGAAGAAACACGGTTGTTCCGTACTGTTTTGGCCGGAGTGGTACGCCGCCAACAACGTGCAGGTGGTTCCCAAGGACAAGAACCCTCCCAACACGCCAGAGCTCCGCCCAATTGAGAAATACTGGGCTATTGTCAAGCGGAACCTAAAGAAGACCAAAAAAACTGCTAAGGGCGAGCAGCAGTTCAAGGCAAACTGGCTTTCTGCGGCGAAGAAGGTGGACAAGGTGGCTGTACAAAATCTGATGGCAGGGGTCAAGCGTAAGGCCCGGCAATTCGGATTTGGAAAAGCGGAAGCCTAACTGAATATTTTTCCTGAATTTTATACTAATTGAACTTGAAAAAGAAATTTAATTTGATTTTTTAAATAAACGATTTCACCGATTTACACGCGTTTTTCCTTGACCAAATTTTGACCGTATCACCCTTTAATAGCTTATTTTCTGTTCTGAATCTGTCAATGTTACATAGGAGCTACTACATTCTACTGTTCGGCTTGCTATAACTTGACTTGACAGTTCGTTATATATGTGGTCGTGAGATGATCTATCCATGGAAAACACTATCTCTTTCATCCTCATCAGTTCTTACGCGAGAAGTGAAAGTAACGTCAACAATGTGTTTACGTATGAATGATAAGGAGTGAAAAAGAAACGCGATTGCACATGCCTTTGTAGAACGAGGATCGTCTTCAATGGACGAAGTTGCATCCATTTATAGACCCAATTTGAGTACTGTAGACCAGGCATGGAAAATCATTTACATTCATTTCATGCATTCATTTACATTCATTTTCCCCTAACTTTTTTCATCAACAGAATTCCGCAAAATGGTGTAAAGAGCTTTTGTAGGTTTTGTTATTAGCTACAACTTTTAATAAGAATTTAAATCTGTATCTCATATGCACCACGAATTAGAGCAGGCAGAACTCGTTACTGTTTTTCAGTGAATGTAAAATACATTCACTGAAAAACAGTAGTGGATTCTGTTTGCTCTGGTTCGTCATGCATAAGAGATACGGATTTGAGTTTTTGACAAAAGTTGTAGCTAATAACAAAACCTACAAAAGCTCTGTACACCATTTTGCGGAATTCTGTTGATAACAAAAGTTAGGGGCAAATTAATGTAAATGAATGCACGAAATGAATGCAAATGATTTTCCATGCCTGCAGTAGACCGACATTACATCCACGTAACTGGAATGTTTTCATGTTAAAATGGTGAGATTAAAAAAATTTCAGTCATGCCTAATCAATATCCAAATAATAAGAATATCTAAGCTAACATGTTCCCAGTGAAATATCGACGGCAGCTCAATAATTTCATAAGATACGGCATAAAATGTAATTGAAGCCTTCTTATTGGACCGAGGATAGTAGGAGGATACGTTATCTGATCCCCATTAGGACTTGTCAAAAATATAAATGAATGCAAATTTTAGGCTCTAACCAAACCATGTCGAGTTCCAACCACCACTGTGGAAAAAAAAAACAATAATAATCAAATTCCTTGCATCACTTCCAGCTTCCAGCAAAGCAAGGCAGAAGCAGAACGACAGAATGCGAGTGACGCATTCTTAAAAACACCGCCCCCTAACCGCCCATCCCGTTCCAAATGAACTGTTTGGTCTGGAATCTCTTTTCCGAAAGCAGCGTTGTTTTGAATTGAATTCCCATTTCAAGTGCGGAGGAGGGGGGGGGGGGGGGTAGGGGTGGAATTGAGATCAATTTTCCTAAATTAAATTTATGATTTATTATTCGGATCGAGTCCGGTGAATATCATCGGACGAACGACGAAACACAACAAAATTGTGGGTGGGTGAAGCTACTTCTCAGATTTGGTACAGCTTATGGATTGGACAGCCGAGGATTTGAGAGGGACTTAAATTGAACAGTTGAATAGCATTTTCAGCATTCTCGGACAATATCGAGTGGAGGGGTGGGGGGGGGGGGGGGGTGGATGAGACTGGTTCCATTCCGGACGGACAGCAGTCGATTGTTGTACCTATGTCGGATTTGCGAATGTGCAATTGAAACACGATAATCCCAGGAAGCGATGGAGAATGGGCTGTTGTGGTTCTTGTTGATGCTGGTTAGAAAATAGACAGCAATGGAAATGAAGCTTATCTTGTTTTTTTTTCTCAATAGGAAGAGGTTGTTCTGGGAGAGCTTTGCTTGAATAGAACATAAACGCGAGAATTCGATCAACGGAGTGGAAATTGTCACTTCTCATCAAATGAAACACCATCAAGTCCCCTACGGACACTCTCCTATAGCATCGACAGAAGTAACCATAATTTCCTAATTTCGCCTCGTTTTCCTCCGGAGAGTGATTTCATTTGCTCTTGCCATCATCAGCAAGTCCTCGTTGCGGGCGGAAAGGAAAGTTAATTATTATCATCCCCGGGGGCATCCTAAAACCGTGCAAAACCGGTCCGACAACCAACCAATGTGACCGACGATGAACCAGGAAAAATATCATCATAATCCAACCAATGTAATAAAAAGCAATTCTCGTGTGGATTATTATTGCCGCCCTCCTTCCTTCCGCTTCCTGAACTTAAGCCGCAATATTGTCTGTCTGGTATCGTAAAAGCACAGCAGAATGAACCAACAGGCTTTCCTTGGCCAGTCTTGTGGCCGGTGCGGGACCAAATAATTTCTTTTAACGACCGTACTTCCCGCAAAAAAAAAAGAAACGAAGCAAAACACAATACACCTAGCCATTACTCTGTTGCTCAATATAACCGAGAAGGATACGTCGGAAAGACCGTGGATGTGGACGTAAATTATTCTCGAGCGATTTATTAATTTTAGTTTTTTTTTCTCCCTCTCTTTCAGGAACAAAGCCATAAATCATACCGGCCCCTGTGTGTGCTGACGTTCCGGTGGAACTATTTGCTGCATGGGCTCGAACCGGCCGGGTACCATCTTGTGAATGTGGTCCTGCACACGATCGTTTCGCTGATGTACTTCCGGTAAGTGTTTCACTTTTCCATCCAAGAACTGGCTTTTATGGCGGATTTCTACTAACATCATGTGGTTTTTCTTTTATATTGGTTGTCCTTGGGGTCAAGGAGGTGCTGGACCTTCTTGTTGGGAAGAAAGAAATATCGCATAATATGATGAGGAGAGGGCTTTTGAATTGCTGTTTTGGCTCGTGGCGCAGATTTATCGGTATCTCACGAGTTCGCCACTGTAGTTGACAAATGGATGTTTTGCTAGCGTGGGCAGTAATAAATATTAATATACTTCTGTTTCACATATTGCTAACAATGTGTGACAAATCTACCGTGTGACAGGTTTGGTGGTGTGGACTAAATTGATTTTCTTAACCCTCCGTTACTCGCGGCAACTTTTGTAACACGAGTACTCGCGCGTTGTACTTTGTACAACAGTGTGAGCTTTCTATTGTCATTTTGCAACCGAGCAACGGGTATTCCTTAAAAAACTTGTTATCACAGTTAACCCCCAAAAAATGCGGATAATAGAGAAAATGTGAATGGAAACCGCATAAACGGTGTCCGTACTACGTGGGATTTGACTTAATTGGTTACAACATGGAAAATCCTGACCAGATAGAAAGTTACTGCCTTAGGAAAAGTTGTTCTAGAGATCATAACCTCTTTTCTGGTGAAGAGTAGTTCCAAAAATTCTCACTACGTGGCGCTAGTATATACGTGCAATTTTCGCATATACAATAGTTCGAGATCCTGGGCAGATAGAAAGTTACTATCTTCGACAAACTTGTTCAGGGGGTCAAGACTTTTTGGGTGGTGGACAGTAGATCAGAATTTTTTCAGTACGCGGCGCTAGTGCACACGTGAAATTCTCATATTTCATATCTCGAGACCCTGACCAGATAGAAAGTTACTGTCTTCGGCAAAGCTGTTCAGGAGATCATAAACTTATACTCGTATACATGTTAAGTTCTCGCATGTGATACATCACTCGAGCCTGACTACATGGAGAGTAAATATATGTGGCAAAGTTGTTCAGGAAGTCAAGATCTTTTTGTTGGTGGACAGTTGTTCAGAATTTTATCACTACGCGGTGCTAGTATATACATGCAATTCTCGTATATACAATAGCTCGAGATCCTGAGCAGATACAAAGTTACTGTTTTCAACAAACTTGTTCAGGGGGTCAAGACTTTTTGGCTGGTGGACGGTAGCCCAAAATTTTCTCACCACGTGGTGCTAGTAAACGTGAACAATTCTCGCGTATGCTATAGCTCGAGATCCTGAACAGGTAGAAAATTACTATATTCGAAAAAGTTGTTCGTGAGGTCAATTTTCACACTACGTGGCACTAGTATACACGCGTAATTCTCGCATATAAAATATCTCGAGATTCTGCTCAGATAGAAAGTTACTGTCGTCGACAAAGTTGTTCAAGTGGTCATAACTTTTTCGCTAGTGAAAAGTAGTTCAACATTTTCTCACTACGGTTCCTTTCTTGCAATGCTTTTTAACAATTAATTCAATTAATATTATTCAAGGAAATTTTTCATGTTTTAAGGAGCATTTTCCGTAGGTTAAGGTACATTTGCCCTAGATTATAGGACACATTTCATTATTCATGGATACAATGAGTATTACTTAGGGATAAGCTTCTTAACTTTATGGAGCTTTACTTGCTTTGTCAATGTAAATAGAGTTACCAAACTTACAACATTGATGCAGAAAGGGGGGCTACACAATGGATTGTTTTCATAACTTATTTGGGCTTCGTTACGATGGGTGAATTCAACATTGATTAGGGTACATAGCGGATTATATATTGTGCACAAGAGCTTTTATTTATGGAACAATGTCTACTATTTAAAGTGCAATGTTTTCTTTCTTAAACGAACAGCTGTGTAATTTTATATAACATTTATGCTTTTTTTAAAGAACATTCTTGCTTGTCAATAGCAATATTTTAATGATTCTATGGTACAATTGCACTTTATCAAATTGTAAACCGATTAAGATTAAGGAGCATTTTTGATAACCTAGTGAACAGTTTTTAATATTTTAGGGAGCGTATTTCAATACTTTATGGTGCATTTCCTATTTTATAGGGTATTTCATCGTTCGATTTAGGGATCGATGTGCTAATATTAATGGCGCATTTGTCACAGCTTTAAGGAACATCATCATTAGTTAATGATCCATTTACCTTTTTGTCGTAACTTTATAGCTGATCAAGATCTCGAGCTAAATATGCGAGAAAGGCAGGTATATACTAGCGCCGCATAGTGCAAAAATTCTGAACTATTGAGCACCAAGCAATAGGCTTTGACCTCCTGAAAAACTTTGTCGAAGACAGTAACTTTCTATCTGGTCAGGATCTCGAGATATATCACATGCAAGAATTTCACATGTATACTAGCGCTACGTAGTGAGAAAATTCTGAACTACTATCCACCAGCGACAAGGCTATGATCTCCTGAACAACTTTGTCGGAAACAGTAACTTTCTATCTGGTCAGGATCTCGATATATTCCATGTTGTAATCAATTATGTCAAATCCCACGTAGTATGGTCACAGTTTACGCGGTTTCCATTTACATTTTCCCTATTATCCGCATTTCTTAGGTGTTTACTGTAATCAAAGTTTAGCTTGTTTGAATCAAAACAAGTTTTTTGAGGAATACTCGTTGGTTTCAGATCGATTGGTAACTCAGCAACAAAATGGCAATGGAAAACTCATGTGCGTTGTACAAAGTACAACAGCGCGAGTAACGGAGGGTTAATCTTGAGGTAAACATAACTCGGCAAGCAACTCGGTTGGGATCTTTATTTTGGGCTATCTATAATTCAGTAATAAGTTTCTGCGATCCACATTGTTATTTTTATTAGTTTGCAGAAATCATTGATTTCCAAATGTTCACAAACCCTGGTGTTTCATTTTTTGACGTAGGACTACGTCTGTGATTTCTATATGGGGGTACACTTTGTGGAAACCTAAAATGTATCATGTAACTAAAGTATGAAAGATTTTGACGGTTAATAACTCAGCTGCCCCTGGACCAATTTCAATAATTTTATCACCAATCGATCAGAAATATTTCTACGCATCTGTTAAATTAAGGACTTTAAAATTTTAAAAAGGTCACTATTGAAAATTTCACGAATGTGCAACTGTTGCTACGATCGTTAAAATTATCACCGATTGCCTGCGAAAAGCGATCTCCCTAACACAGATTTAAAAGTTGAATTTCATCCGGTCTCAAAAAACCAATCACCGCGTGGTGAGTGGTGGTGTTCTCTAGTACACAACAAAAGGCTGCCTGCAAGCAGCGAGCTGCTGCCCACATGAGCATCCATAGAAGGAGGTAGAAGCCGCACCGTTATTGATCGGAATCAGTAGCTCTTCGTGAGTCGCTGTGGTCCATCTATGTCAAGCGCGTCATATTAAAGAGTATAAACAGAGAGAATCCCACTCAAATTCCAATCCCCACACAAAACACAAGCTCCTGTTGCAGTTAACCAGTTTTACCATTACCAGCTTTAACCATAAGAAATATTGTTCATATACATCGAACTACGGCTCCGCAAAGCCAACGAAATTGAACCTTGAAAAATATATAATTAGAAACAAAGAATCTTCTTCTAATCAACTCTTAATATATATTAATTCTACAGTTCTTTTAGAAATCTAATGAATTCTTACAAAACTTCTTCTTCCTTCGACGCCTTTCAAGCTTATTACTTATCGCATATTAGCTTATTGCGTGCTCTCAACTTAGTATTCTACAGTCCACAGTTATTTATTGACAGCTTTCGATGCCTGTACCATTTTTGCATAAGTATAATTGTGTAGCAAGTACAATTATACTCTATGTCCCATCGTATACCGTAATGCTCCGAATACCAGACGGTTCTTTAATCCATACATTTAATTGGTCATTAAATATTTCGCCAATATAACACAATTAATATGCGGAATAATTCTAAAACGTGCATAATACACAGTGATAATATTTTTTTTGAGTCAAGATTTGTGAACTAAGTGTCTGGTTTTCAAGCCTTTGCGGTACCCTTCAGATTTATCGTGTAATTATTATCAGAATCCCTTTGTAAATTACCCCAGAATTTCTGGGTAGTCAGCGATCCGGGACAAACAGGACACAGCCGCAGCGAGAGGGGCGGGCATTTTGTGTTCAACCCCTGCCTCCCATAGCCTTGAGGTAAACATAAAATGCTCTGTTTATACAAAATGTGGGTCAACTTTTACACTTTTTATCATGCACACAATGGCAATCGATTTTAGTGATTTTTCCTATGGACCGCTATTTGTTCAATCCTGTCGTTCAATCAAATATCGATGATATGTTTTATGTTCAAGATACCCGATGAAAATTTTGTGTAGAAGTATCAAAATGTATGGAAAAGTGTTTTCTTTTAAATCGCGGAGATTTTGGAATTCAAATTCTTAGCATTCAATTCATTAAAATAACAAACAACCCATGGGATGATTTTAGCCGATGAAAAATCAATTATGACCTTCTGTACAGCAAAATTCCCTTAATTATTAAATAAATTTAACAATTTTATTTTAATATTTTGATTAACCCTGGAAGACTTCAAAAGTTTCGTCCGACTTCTCCAGAATTGTTTTTCCAAATTTCCCCGATTTGTTCTCGCATTCTTCAGGAGTTCCTTCGAAGTACCTCCGAAAGTTTCTACTGATTTCTTTTGAAATATTGTTCAGACATCCCTTGAAAGTTTTGTTTTTAACATTCTCCGGAAGATTCGTACAACTTATCCTGATAGTTTATTTTCTATATTCCCCAAAAATAATCTGATTGCCACTCCTGGAAATTTATTCTAGTTTTCTTGGAAAGCTTACCTCCACTTTCTTCCATCTTTTCACGTAAGCTTGCTCCAGTTTTGTTGGCATGATTTTTTCACGGAGAGTCCTACAATTTTTCCTGGAAGTTAATTCTAATTTTTCTAAACTTGATCTGGAATTTTATTCTGACTGGTAT